GGCCAGTAGGACAGGATGCATTTTGTGGATAATCCCCTAAAAAGGCATTTTAAACCCATGGTGTATCTTCAAACACTGCATTCAGAAATTCAGAAAAGTACATATTTGCTGGAAATGTAGGAATAATACATAAAACCTAAATTTTAATATTGCAGAATCTGACCAAAAAAGCCATATCCTTTTAAAATATGTTGAAAGCATTTATTAACACAGAACTAGTTGATTTAATGTACAATTACTGTTTCTGTTATAAGTCCCCTATAGTGGACGTAAACATCTACACAAAAAGTCTTGTATGTGAACCTGTGCACAGAAGTTGAAGTGGAAACAGTTGTTTTTAATATAAATTCTGTACAAGCCTGTGTCCCGGGGTACTCGTAGATCTGGGTGCAGACGCTTTGTTTAGTCACTTGATGGCAGTGTTCTCCACAGAAAGTGAGTTAAAAAGTTAATGCAGTTTATATGAAATCTTACAAAATGCTTGATCACAATTCCAAGGTTACTGTGTCTACAAGGTTACTGTGAACAATAGAAATGATACAATGAATCAATCTGAACTTTTAAATAAACAGTGTTGAAAATTAGCAGCACTCTTGCCCTTCTTTATGTACTATTTTATTGGGCCTGAGCCAAATAGCCTTGACAGTTGACTGTTGTTTGTAAAAAAAAACAATAGGCACCACTTCAGAATAAGACTTAATAAAATCTTTATAAAAGATTTTTGAATGGTTTAAAATAAGTTTATTAATGGTTATTAATTAGGTCATGGACACTAAGATTAATCAATAAACAGTTATAACACATTAATAAAAGGAGCAGTGAGCTATTGTATCTGATGAATATGAAAATGAATATAAATATGAACATCTAATGAAGGTGACAGGTTTAGTGCTGACTGATGGAGAAGACAGAGTAAGATGTGTAAGGTTTTTAAGATATTTGTGAACTAATTAATAATTAATAAACTAATTATAAATTAATAGTCTTATTCTAAAGTGTGACCAAAAATATCAATAAAAAAACAAAATATATCATCATGAATTCCACTAAAAGCTCTAAAATATTTTGCACAATTACCATTTATTTTTAATATACCTCACAGGCACACAGCCTGCAAGTCACTCAGCCACTCACACACAACACACTGCAATAAAGCTAAAATACAAATAAACACTGAATTTCAGGAGAAAATGACCTCATACTAGTGAAATTATCTGTCTGTGCAGCAAGATCATTTTACTTTACAAGACATCTTAAAATAAGCTGGTTCCAGTCTAGAAATAAATAGGCTCTGATATGAGTTCAAAGGTTTGAAATAAGTAGAAAATGCTGTTTTTAGATCAAATTACTTGAGATCAGGCTTGCTACAGTATAGTTATAAGTGAAATACACTAAATATTCGCAAATAATTCTTAATTCAATTGTTTCCATTCTTAATTTTAACACACTGATAAAATTAAGGCAGAGGAACAAGAAAATAAAACACTAATTTAAGTGGAAAATACTTAATACTAGTCTAGTATGATTACACTGTTACTTGAAACAAGTTGAAATAGGTAGGCCTAAATCCATATTTAATTTAAAACTAGTCCTTCATCTCAGAGCAGACATCTTAAAACAGGAAACTGATTTTACTGAAATCACAACCAAGACCAAAATTTAACTAAACAGAGAGACAGAGAGTGAGAGAGAGAGGCAGAGACTGAGAGAGAAATGACATAAAAACAAAAAAGTTTTCAGAGAGAATATCTGTTACGAGCTTAGGGGTCATGTTTTGTTCTGTGCAATTTCCTTTGTTTCTTTTTTTTCTTTCACATATTGCAGTGTCATGACGACTCCAGTCCAGCAGGGGGCTCGATCTATAAAAGCTGGATTACAACCAGGTGGAAGCGTAAGGTGAGAGAGAGGGTTACACACTGTTGCTTCCCACTTCCCAGACCACCAACCTGAGAAACGATCATGCTTCATTAGAGTAACTATAAGGCTGTGATGGTGGTCTTAATTGTGTATGGAGTAGTTTGTAAGGTGTTGAGGTTTTTAGTGTGGAATGTAAAACCAATGTTTCAAATGGTGTTGAAACTCTAGTATATGCTCCAGCTCATATGGTGTTGATGTTACCATTTAAGTCTGTATATTTTCCATCAAAGTCTGTGAGGCCTTGACACTGCAGTATCTTTACTTCCTCATTTTAGGGAGGGAGGACTTTTTGTTTATCTCTGTTTTCTCCTGGTTATTGGTTAAGATAAGGAGTTAGAGATAAGGAGTTAGGTTAAATTGGATGTATTTTTTTTTTTGTTGGTTAGGTTTAGTTAGTTGTTAATTTAGTTAGCTTTGTTATGTTTGTTTTCTCCTACCCTCCTTTCTTGTTATGCTATTTTGGTTCAGTTTTCTCATCCATGTTACATCTTCAATAAATCATTATCATTGTGAAGCTGGTTGTTGTTGTTGTTGTTGTTGTTGTTGTTGGTGATGTGTGTGTGTGTGTGTGTGTGTGTGGTAATGGGAATCGGAAGGGCACGGATGTCTCTCTCTCTCTCTCTCCTTTTATGTTATGGCCTAACCCTAGACTGGGTCATAACAACTTCAGAGAGAAAAATATTTCTGAATGAAATAACCTATACCTGATAACAAGGAATAAAAAAAAATCTCAGCAGGAAAAATTTAAGAAAAACTTGATGTTTTAGCTCAGATGGAGCTGGTTCTGGAGTGAAGTAACACCAATGGTGTGTGGGATTAAAACACTGAGGATACTTTAATCCATTTCTGGTCAACAAAGTAGATCAGGGGTGTCTAATGTGGGGCCTATGTGGCTGCAAGTTTTCATTCCAAACAAGCAGGAGCTCACCTGATTCCACTTGTTTAATCAATCACTCGGCCTTCAAACAACTTGCAGCCACACCGGCCCTTTGCAGATAAGACTGGACGCTTCTGAGGAGGATGGTTCAGAATTTGTTCTACACAAACAGGAGGAGATTCACACAGTCTGGCTGTACACAATCTGGATGGTTTAAATTTGCTATGAAACAGAAAATAAACCAAGCCATTTCACCAGCAATCAAACGTTAATTCAAGATACAAATCTATAATACAAAATCCAAACCAAACCATTTCAAGTGAATTAGAACAATTTAATTAATATCAATATATCAAACTCAATTTAGCATATTTACATTAAAACAACCAAACAAAACTTACATCATATATCCACAATATGTAAGGACAAACACAGTCTGCCCATTGGTGAAGGCAGCAGAGACACAGGGACAGTAGCAGTGTGAGAAAGCAAACCAGGAACAACCTTGGGGTTTCATACACTGGATGTCCTAGCTAGCCAAGTCAAGTACAGGTGCACAACAACAACTGCAAACAGTGAGGTAAAGTGACATTAAATCACTAAAAAGCTGGGGTTATCTCCTTTTTGGGCAGTGAAAATCAAAGTGTCCTTTCATTTACTGGTGGATGAAGCATGTTGGGCCATTTCTATTGAATAAATGGTACAAATCGCTACTCTATCTAATGTGGCTTGTTTATCAGTAATTCACTCAATTCGTATGATTTCCTGACTAACTGAGACATGAAAGACATATTCCTGCTATACCATGAATTCAGTGA